ACACACACACACACACACACACACACACACACACACACACACAGAATGGGAGATGCACTTGGCATCGTTTATTTTAAAAATTGTTTGCTGATCATGATATAACTATCAGAATGAGTGACTAGACAAAGGAGGAGAAATTTGTTCTACAGCCCAGAAGAATGCTTCAGTCTGTACACAAAGGACACTGTGGGCAACAAACATGTGGGGGATTAAGGAAGTTGAGTTCTTGTTGATTGGGATTAAGGAAGCTACATTTGGAAGATACTTGAAGGACATTAAAGTTGCATCCATTTGAGAAGAATCTTACTAGAAAACACAGCTTTAAGAGGCTGAAGGATGGACAAAAGTCTGGAGGATTTCAATACCAAGATCATCACAATTATAGATCATGGTCAGATCCAGTTTGGAAATCACCATCTCTCTGTTAAAGTCAATGGAGTTATGCTAATTTACACCGGCTAAAGCAGCATTTCTCAAACTGGTATTTAGGTGCCTACATCCCATTAATTTCCCTTTGTCTTTAATTTTCCCATCTGTAAAATGGGAATAGTAGTACTTCCCTATGTCACAGGGTTGTGGTAAAAGATTGTGAGGCACTCAGATATGACGGTGATGGGGGCCACAGAGAGAAAGAAAAGTGAAATTTGAGGTAAATGTAGATTTCTTTGCTGATCTTCCCCTCTGACCAGGATGTGTGAGGACAGTGCACGGTGATAAGTTTTAACAAAGGGTATGGCTACACTGTGTGGAAAAACCCATGGCACCAAGTCTCAGAGCCTGGGTGCATTGACTTGGCTCACGGGGCTCGGGCTGTGGGTTTAAAAATACCAGTGTAGATGTTCAGCCTTGAGCTGGAGCTGGGGATCCGAGATCCTCCCTCCTCACCAGGTTCCAGAGCCAGGACTCCAGCCCAAGCAGGAACGTTTCCACTGCTATTTTTTGTCCCACAGCCTGAGCTCCACAAACCGCAGTCAACTGATCCAGAATCTGAGACTCAGTGCATTGTAAACATACCCTCAAATTATTAGAACAATATTCTCCCTCTTTCCTGTCACCCACACCTTGTTGCGAAAGGTTCTTCATAGTTTCAAGTTTGCTCACAATAGCTTAGAATGGAACACCACACAGATATTTTTCTGAAAAAGCGGACAGTGTCAGAGCTGTGAAAAAACTCTGGGAGTTTGCGTCACAAAAATTTAGCATAAATATT